ATTTATAAAACTAACAATAGTGATAACAATAAATATTATATATATATAGTTACTGCTATAGAACAAAAACTAGAGGGTGACTTCCGTTTTACACATGTATGTTCTTTTTATAATAATCATAATAATCACAACATTATTATTATTTAAGGAATTTTTTTTGATTACTTGAATTTTTCTTTCAACAACAATGACTACTAATTTATTTACAGTCTCGAATAATTACTCATTCAGAAGAGATTGCTTTTTATGGTGGTAATAATCGTGAAAAGGCTGTTGTGAATGGAAGTTTCGATAAGATCGTGAGACATGTAAAGAAAATCTATAGATTAAGATTCTTTAATGGCATTATTGATTCGGTGTTGGTGAAATACTGTGCAACAATGACAGCTTATTAGTAAGTCACAATAATAACGAAAAAAAAATCATTTATTTTTACGTGCCATGCATTTATTTATTTATATGGATTTAATATATATATATAGTCTTTTATCGAGACCAGTATTTGATCCTAGATACGGTAAGGGAAAAATTATGATCTATAATATTTGGTATTAAAGTTTTGTTAAAAAACTTTTTTTTTTAATATTTTAGCCACTGAATTCATGGGTAAAATGGACGCTGATCCAACAAAGATTATGGAAGACTACTCAAGAAATTGTAAAATTATATATAATTTATTTAATTATTATTAATATTATTAATTTCAATATACAGATCAACAGCAATAATAATATTATTATAATTGAAAATGTAAAAATAGCTGGATACTTGGTGAATTTATCACAAGCTATTGGAAGATTAATTCTTGCTGGCCGTGATTTAACCAGATTTGCTGGGTACACTGTTAGTAACGATGATATATTAATAGTATTAATATAGTTATATTATCATTGTTATCATTAATTGAAGATTTACTTTCTTTTTTAAAAAGTCCCGTGTTGCGGAATTGTTTGATGTATTAGAGGATGTTAATAAGGGTAGATATGAACGAGCCATGGTTGTAAGTAAAGATTCTAAAGAAGCAAATGTTAGTAGAGGTAATGTAAATGTTAATTATATATATGATTATTATATCCTTCACGTTTTTTTTTTTAAAAAGAAACGAATTATTATTTTATATAAATATATTTATAGCTGTAACACCAAGCGATCTTAAAGGAAAAATTATAAGAAGTGATGGTGTTATAATTTTTGAAAAAGTTCCAATTATTACTCCTAATTATGATGTTTTGGTAATTTACAAAACATTTAATAAGATTTTTTTCGAATAAATTATAATTTTTTTAATTGATATTAATAATAATTATTATTGTATTAGGTGAAAGAATTATCATTCAAAGTTCAGACTGGAATGAATTGTTTAATATCTGGGCCTAATGGATTTTATATTTGGAGGGTGAAGGAGGTGGGATTGAAACTAGAATTACAGCCAAAACTATTTTTCGGAATCTGATGAATTACAGAGGCGAAGTAAGTAAATAATGAATCAATGGGATTATTATTATTAAAAGTATATATCAATTATATTAATTATTTAATTATTATTTATATAGCATTTTGCAACATCAATATTTACAACATTGTTTGGTGCATGTTTATTTTATTTAATCGCAATTTTATTTGGGGCACCACTATATGAGTTTAGTAGATAATATTACTTTAATGATGAAATGATACTGGCATATACATACATACATAATTATTCACACGCACCTCAATTTGTAGAAATGCTCGACAAACAATACTATTTTCAATATATTTATCAATATTAGCAATCTTTCCTTCTTCATTAACATTGAAAGATCATTTTCCTGCATGGGCAAGAGTTTTTGCAAGTAATAAGTAATGTGTATAAATAAATAACAAAGAAAGGGATGAGAGTGTGTTTGTTATATATTTTATATACATGTAATATTAATCTTTAAATATAATAATACTTGTTTTATTTATCAAAAAAAGTCCAGAGACAATACCAGAAAGAATGATTTATTATCCAGCAGTTTTTTCAGTATTGGGCGCATGGATAAGCGCAATTTTCATTCAATTCGGTTGGAATAAATCATGGCAGGTCATTATAAATTATCATCATCGTCATCATTATTACTATTGTAAATCATTAATTAATTAATTTTATAAATAAAGGTTTGGCCAATTCCTTGTGTTGTAGGAAGTTATGTTGGTTATGTTTTAGGAAGTTCTTATTCTTTAATTTCTAATTATTTTAGAAATGAAAGTTTGGCCGAAAGAAAAAGACGGGAATAAATAATTTTTTAATTGTTGATTCTAAATAAAAATGTAACTTTTAATACTAATATTAATATTAATATAATGCATTGTATTATTACCCAGTAAAAAAAATGTTATATTTCAATATTATGGGGAGAAACATTCTAGTGTGAAAATATTAATTAATCATGTCTTAAGAAAACTTATGATGCTTTAAACCCTTGTAGTAAATGTTGTTTAAAGAAAAATTAGTAAACTTCATTTTGATATTTTACAAACATTTGATAATTGTAACAAAAGCATTGAATCTATGATTGTTAATCAATTACTTACGTCTCAATAAATAGTTGAATAATCTAAGTTCTAAAAATAAGTAAATGAAATATTAAAAGATCACCCAAGTTTTTCAGATGATTTTCAAAGTTTTATTATTAAAGTGTAATAAGAAAATTTCAACTACAAAGAGTATAAAATCCGAACACTGTGTTTAAATTTTAGAATTTTCTAGGAGGACAATTGCTAAATTATATGAACAATTAACTAAAATATTTTTCGTTCGCAACATGACAAAAAATATAATGTCTAAAATAAAAAATAAGATCACATGGACCAAAAGAATATTAACTTTCTTAATTGTTGCTTCTCCTTTGAAGGTGTATAGTTATCTCTTTTATGTTTTAAGAATGGCTTGTCGAACAGATTTGCAAGCATCACACGCAATTTTTTTCTCAAACGTGAAGATACGAGTAGTCGAAAAGAAAAAAAAATATTAATATGTATTGCCACATTCCCGTTTTCTACAAAACGACCAGCTCTTATTAATAATAATATGGAAACCATGCGAATCTCGAATTTTAATGTTCTGACAAGTTGTTACTGAATATATTTATATATATGGCATTAAAAAATTTAATTTGAAAAAAAGTTTTATCCTCTCGAGTAAACGATATTGATTAATTTATCAACTTTACCAGTACCATTATTGTCATTATCATCAGTATTTGTGGTAGCAGACATTATTATTATCGTTGAACATTAGTCATAATTGGTAATCTTCTTTAGAAAATAACGTTGATTATGTTATATTATATTATTAATTTTATTGTCGAATTTCAAATGTCATAGAAAGTAAAAACTATGCAAAGTTTTGATTTACGATATATCTTACCAACACGTCAAGCTTTTATATATTTAAATTTTTGTCACGGTTAAAATTGAACCAATATATGATCAACCAACCGCGGTTTTTAAGCCATGGTTCAAACAGGTTTAACATGGTTTTCAAACAATCTAATTGATTTTGATATATGTGAAGGTTTACGACCACCAACAATACTTGATGATTATCTACAAAAGATGAAGAAGTGTTGGGATGCGGATCCATCAAAAGACCAACTAGTGAAATGAGCCAAAAGTTTGAAAAATAATAATAGTAACAATAATAAAAAGATTATTCAAATTTTCTAAAATCAAAAAACATGACATTAATTTTAATAATGACAGTAGCAGCAGCCGTAGTGGTGATGGTGGTGGTGATGATTCGTAACAAGCACACAAATCGCATTTAGATGCAAAATTTCTGGTCAAGCTGGCAAAGCATTTGACATTTATTTATCATCACATTTTTTAAAAATTTGCTATATTATAATAAATAATTCTATTTTAAATTATTTGTCATGATTTTTTATCATCATCATCATTATTACCACCACTATTACTATTAATATTACCACTATTATTATTACCACTACTATTATTATTATTATCATCCTTCTCACCAAAATTCTTCTCATTATTGTTATCAGATTTGGTATTGTCACTTCTACCCTGGAGTAAAGATGTCGATGAAGATCTTTTATTTGATTCATTGTTATTCAAATGTGGATCATCACCAACATGTTCTAGTTTATCAGCAGCAGTAGTTGTAGTTATGGTCACGGTTGCAGTTTCTGATAGAGGATTATTTGAAATAACATACATTGAACCATCTTTTTCATCCTTGATAAAAAGATTATCCTGTTCATCATTATAAATGGCATATTTTTTATGATTGTTTACATTTATGATATTAAGTTCTTGATCTTGATTTTCTAAAGTCATCAAAGTATAACTGTTTTGTTGTGAGGCAGTCGGATTTTCATTATCATTAATAACAACAATATCAAGATTTCCACCCTTCGTGTTATTATCACCATCGACATTGATTTTTTCAGTGTTTTTTCTTACTTTTATTATTTTTACTTTATGAAGATAATTCACTGATGGAAATGTAGTTGAATTATTGACTTTTTTTCCTATTTTTATCTTTTTTTTTTAACCCACCCCCAAAAAATTAGTATATTGGTATTAATTATTATCATTATTATGATGATGATTTGCTGACAATTCAAATGAAATTAATATATTAATAATTTTAGTTTATTTACCAATGGAACAGATATCCCATGAACAAAAATTGATCCAAAAACAATAAAGTAAACAACTAAAAAAAAAAGATTATTAAAATATATTGAATCTATAATTCAAAATTTTTTTTTGTATATTTTCACATAATGATGAATTATTATAATAATAAATAATAAATACCTGGTACAATCAAATCTCTCACACGAGCGTTAGGGTCATCAGGATTTTCAAGTTCATTATTATAATGTGTAAAGGTTTCTCTTGCAACTTGAGCATAAAACACTGCACCTAAAAAAATATTAATATTGTTTAAATATTCTAATCAATCAATTAAATATTAATTAATGATGATAATAAAATAACTACTAACTAACACCCATTGGACCAAACCAACCAGTAAATAAAGCTAAAGTAATTTTTTTATGTTTTTTGTTAGCAAATAATAATAACAATAACCAAAAAACAATAAGATTTAAAAATTATTACCTTCTTGAGTTGTTTTTACAGCAGGCATAAATTTAAATAAAGCCATAACAATAGGAAGTCTACGAAAGAAAAGTATAAAAATAGCCATCAAAATTAAACGCCAATATGATAAGCCTAAATAATCATCATTATAGGAGGACCATGGCATGGCAGTTCCAATAAATACAAATATTGTCATATTAAAAAGCATATCAATAACTTCTTGAACATTTGACCCATGCATTTCTTTACGAAACCAATCACTATTATGTAGTTAAATAACAAATATGTGGCTAATAAATATAAATATGAATATAAATATAAAAATTTATTCATATGTTTAATATTAAAATACTTGCTCCCAATTTAAAGAACACCCTGTTATAAAAGATGCTAATAAATCATCACTACTTATAATTCCAACAATTCCCAAAACAAAGAACTATAAATAAATAAAATTAATAATTATTATTAAGAAAAATAGTATATTTGTCTTTTACTTACAGCCAATACAATTATAAAAGCCAAGAAAACCTCCTTATCAATAAATCCCCTATTTATTATAAAAAATTTTTTTGTTAGTTATTTATTTGAAGAATAAATTTCTTCTAATCCCTACCTTTCCCTACCCCCAAAAAAATTATAAACCAGCCAATCAATACCTTTGAAATGCCCAATAAATAATTTTTCTACCAATATAACCAATAACAAATCCAATCACTACAGATAAAAGGATTTGATAAACCATTATATAATACACCCATTTTCCAAGAGCTTCTCCAGTAGGAAGAGTCATTAAATAAATACAAAAGAAAAGAAAAGGGTATCCAAGGCCTTTAATAATGATGATATTATTAATATTAATACTAATTAATATTTGCATATACATGATTTCATTTATTATTTTCTTTTTATAATTAAAAAAAAAAATCTCAATAATCACTAACCATCATTTGCCGCACTAAATAGTATAGAAAAAAATTATTTGTAATTAAATATTTATATATTAAATAATATAATATATATTTATACATCTTGCAACTTTACCTCTCGGCTGATATGGCATCTCTGACATTAGCAGGAACATATTTTTCAGCATATTTTCCCTTTATAATGGAATTTGCCAATACCTTTATATAATATATAATATGTAATATGTAATATATATATTATTAAATCAATTTTTTAAAAATAAATAAAGTAAAAACTAAAAAATTACATACAGGATCAGTTGGTGTTACCGATGAAGCAATCAATAATGCACCCAACTAGTCAGAATAAATAAAATTTTTTTGCTGTGTAAATATTATTGTTTTATAAATTAAATAATCAACAATCAAAAAACTCTTATTATTTACAAAAGTAAGTCGCGGTACGAATAAATAAACAGCAAGTCCACTAACAACCCACATCCATGACATAACAGGAACAACCAGAATTATTATAGATCTGAATTCTGTTCGTAAGTATGCTCTAAATATTGATCAATTAAGCAATTTTTCAACAGATAAAATAAAAAATTTAATCAATCAATCAATTATTTTTATAATTACTTTGGTAAAACAACACCTGCTGCCATAACCTGCATGAAAATATTAGATTAGTGGATGTATAGATTATTTGTATGAAAAGATCATATCATATCATATCAATTATGATGTACCTGTATTGCTATTACAATCCTAGTAAATTGTTTGGCCATGATATTTACATCTCCCAAACTTTTAGGATTAATTATGTTTAAGACATAAGGTCCAACTATAACGCCAACTATAAAAGCTATGACTAAAATATAATAATGGTTTTTTTTTGTATGGTAAATCTAAATCATATAGAATGATTAATTTATTTATTTTATCACATAAACAAACTTACGTGTCTCTGATATATATATTTTTCCTCTTACAAGATATGATACAAGACCAAATATTAAAATAAAACTACCAAGTACCAATGCAATGACTGATACTTGGTCATCAACATTTAGAAATGCTAATTCCATTTTATTAATTAATTTTAAAATCAAGAAATTAAAATCGTCGTCTTATTTATTTATTTATCGACATTATTAGTATTGGTTTGAATTAAAAATTAAAAAACAGACTGTCTCACAAAGTTTTTATTTAACGATATAAATAAAAATATTGTCGGCGATCACCGTAAAGTATTGAGATGTATAAAAACGGAAAAGTTTTAATTAAAAAAGGCGATCCTACTTGGTGCTTCAGGACTTTTACGGTTTTTGCATTCATCACGAGATTATTCATAAATTTTCATGAACTATGGCGGATAAAAGGTTTTTTGAATTAAATGCTGCACGTCATTTTATAAACCGTTACACAACATTTTTTTAAACACGCCACACATACCTGCATACGTTCCAAAGTTGCAGGCACCAAATTATCTAATATATCAAAAAATGCTACATATTGTGGAGTTTTTGAGAATTTGAATCTTTCAACCACAAATCTTCTATGGTTGGCTCGGTCTAAAGACCTCCTATTTCTGCGCCACGTGGCCAAATTTCAAAAATAGCAATTTTGTAATTT